TCATTGCGCAAAGTGTTGAATAGATACCTTCGTTCTTTTAGACATACACTCACCTACATTTTTGCAGTGAGTTGCAGTTAGTAGCAAAAATTTTATGCCGAAGTTATTTTAGTTAGTGTTTTTTACTTCATTTATAAGCTATCTTATTCCTACCTAGAGAAGTTACGTAGCAAAGAACCTACCATCACTATACTTTTTATACTATAAAAAACAACGGCGGCTTTTAAGATTTTTCTTAGTAACTATCCTCATTTTAAGACCACGGCCAAATGAGGTAGAGCACTATCCCGATCTCTTCAGTGCAACCCCTGAACTGCGAAGATCTTCATTAGGTCGTGACGACGAATTCCAACCATATGGGTATGTAAGTGGAATGAGATCAGGTAATGCGGACCTGTAGCTTATTCGTCTTTTTCATGTGAGTCGGATTTTCTAGAAATCTTCTGGCAGTGGTTTATTCGTCATTCAATTTCATCCCATGTGAAATTACTGCTTTTTTCTTTCATTTTTTTAAATGTCTTAAAAACTTTTATAATATCTCCAAATTATCATACTATCCTACAACCATATGTCGACAGTTCAAAGCTCAAAGATATGGCGCTAGAAGCAAATTTCCAATTTTTCTCAAAACGTCTCTGATGGAATATATGTGCTCTCAATAGACCTATGCTTTGTTGTCACTCGATCGACTGCGCTTACAGTTGTTTTGAGACCCTCTCAAAGGTTCGTTCAGGTGTGAAAGTAAGCCACCAAAATCGTGTCTTTCCGCCGCATCCCATCGAAATTGGACAACAACCAATAGTGCAGTACAGGTAGGTTCTTAAATGACAGATTTCGAATCAGTACTACTAGTGTGCCATTTCTAGCCCGCCATTATCTCTCTGGCAGCATTTCCCATTTGGATATGCTCCGTTGATTCGTCATCGACTACCCTCACAAGCAGTACTGGGATCGTATCTCACAGCTCCTCAGTGGTACCTACCGCATCCACAAGCCACGTTTCCGTTTTCTGAGAATGCTCGGTCAATTTCTATAACATCGCTTCTGAATGATCCTGAAGGACTGTCGTACAGTTTTCACCCTATGTCTATAAGCGGTGAATTGGACGTACATGGAGAATCACCGACGGCGCTCGCAGATCTAATTACACTTCTAGGTGAGGCCTTAAAGAAGCGGCTTAGTTATCTTGCGACTCTGATAACTTCAGTAACAACGATATTGGGTTTTAAAGACGATAATATCCTTACCAAACTATGGCATCCCTCTCGCCGCAATAGAACTGTCGGTTTGAAAATGAAATGACAATCAGTATTCGCGAAAAGGAAGAAATAAATTCGCAGCGAGATCGTCGAGATCAAGGTCTTCGATCACTTTATGGCAGATCTTTTTCAACGCACGTTATGTGTCTTAATTTTTGGGTTCTGTCTTATTTGCAGCAAAAGTATATGGAATGTAAAGAGAACAAAAGTTCCGGCACCCAGTGCCTTCAGGTAGCCTCTGTCCAGCTTTGTAAGCCAATTTTCAATAATACGCCTATGTTTGGAATTTTCTTGATACTAATTACGTTTACGACTTTTCTTTTGTTCTTTAGTTCAGTTCATCGCCTCCAAAGTTTTTTCCAAATGAAATTTATTGCCTCGTCACTGCGAAGTGAAAGGGAGAAGCCGAAACATGAATGTTTAGTGAAAGGTGTGATATTAAGAAATGGTGCCGTATGTCTAGCTCCTAATTCTTGGATTTAGTATAGTTCAGTTTTACTGAATTTTAACCACCTATTAACACCACAGAGCTTCGCTCTTGTTAGCTCTTTTGGTTTCCTCAAAACACGTTCTTTTCCACGAGTCAAAATGCTGCCGATAATCTTACAACCACAATTTATGGACAAATTTGTTAAATGAAAGCTAAGAAAATAAATTCACTTGAAGGAAAGTAAAAGTTCTGAATTCATGTTAAATTTGCTAATTCCATTGAGAAGCTCTGCACTTTCGCAAGGATTTGAGATATACTAACTTCTTCCCTACTAACGTCGCCTGCAAGGGACCTTGCTTGCAGAGGTATCTCATGTCTGTTAGTCGCGAGACAACGTGGTGCTTCAGCAAGTGGCGGATAGGGGTTAATCGACAACCAAAAGCGACCTTGTGCTTCCCTGAGGCGCAGGTGGACCGGGGAATGGACGCCCTCTTTCTGCTGCGCCGATTTGGCACATACCTTCTTTATTTACGACGATGTGTTCATTAACAGGTGCGTGGGTGTGTTCCTGTTTATGCCAACTGGAGAGACTGGCAAGCTAGCCTTGAATATGCCCAGCCTCCAAGCTCAGAGTCCAGCGCAACCTATACATGGCTGTCAAAAAGCTACACACAGTAAAACAAACTGGTCTAATGCCCCTCACTCTGAAAGAGCCCGCGATCCGGCAGCATTGGGTAGGACGGTAGGAGAGGCTGCTAAATCTCAAGGCCATTCTAGGCTATTTAAATCATAAAGGACTAGGGTGATGATTTGCACCTGTAGTGGGCGCATACTTGCATCTGAGTCTTCAATAAACGACTTTGCCATGCATGCAAGAGCTATAAGGTAAGACATTATCGGACTGGCCTAGACGAGAAGACGCTATCCATTCAATGGCGTCTATGACACCAAAGAAGAACTGTTCTCCGGAACATGCGGCAGTGGAGAAATCATTAGCGTCGACATTCTCGTCAACATGAGTTTGGCCATGAACATCGATTCATACGAGCAACTAACAACTCGAATAGAACGTTCACGATTAAAAAGATGTGGATCAACACCGGCTTTGACAATCTTCGTTGTTTATGCGCCTACACCAAACTATGACGAAGAGGAAGTCGAAGCGTTCTCTATGGACTTGAAGAAGTTCTACAGAGAAGACCATACGTTCTTCGAGAGCATCACAGAAGATTTCAACGCCGAGGTTGGACCAAGAAGAACGTCTGAAGAATGTCACACTGGGACTCAAGGGTTAAAAAGGAACGAGGAGGGTGAGCAGCTGCCTGAGTTTATCATGACGACCATGACTATTCATAGTAACTCGGAATTCCAGAAATCCCACCTTCACGGCTGGTCGTAGAATTTGACAAATGGAGAGTATCATAAGGAAATAGACCGCATCATAGTAAGTCGAAGGTTTTGCCTAACGAATGTCTCTGTTATCCCAAAATTTTACAGGGAATCAGACCATTGCCTCTTTCGTGCAAGATTTTATTTTTCACGGAAGGGAGAAAAGGCTGCGAAATTCAAGAAATGAAATCTTAAAACTCACGAAAACCTCAGAAGAAAGATATGACGGTGAGCGATTCCGTAGAGAAAGAAGAACTCAATGATACAACTCTAGCAGGCGACAAGGAGAAATGGAGGGTTTACTGGAGCCCGTTCGAGCTACTCAGCGCTCAATAGGAGGACTGGTGATGCAGTTAAATAGCGCCGGCAAAAAAGAGCGCTTAGTCTCGTATACTTCACCGAAGAGCTTTTTTTTTACAATTTCGTAATCTTTCATCAACGGCGAAAAACCTTAAATAATTGCAACACGGTGTATCTTTGTCGGAACGTTTCCGTCTGCTCTTAATTTATTGAAAGTTTAGGCTGCCGAGATAAAGATCCATCGACTTGCTCGAAAATAACAGTCGAGTCGTGTCTATCCAGGCCAGGATTCTATTTAAAGTTGTGTCCAGTAAAGTGCAGAAATTGCAGTGGTAAAGACTCTCTGCCCTCAGGAACGGATTTCTCCATCTATTTTTAGTATTTCAAACTTTATAGGGCTGCAGTGCTTAGACTCAGTGAAAATTAATTGTGCTGAAGTTCGTGAATTAGACGGGTGCAAGTTGCCTGCCGCAGTTGAGTACTGCCCAAAGACTTGCCAACTTTGTTCACTGCCAGCAACACTCTCAGGTAAAGGCTTGAAAAGGTAAACCCTTGAAAAAGTAAACCCTTGTTTCATCATCTTTGCTTTGAAAATTATCGCAATTTTAACTAATTGATCAGTGGTTTACTACTTAGCCGTCGCAGAAGGGAGTTTTTATCCGTCGAACAGCGAATTGCACCCATTGCGTAATGTGCTTGTGAGAATTCAATAGTAATGATTTTAATAACCGGTAATAATTCCACCTCAAACGCTATATTTTTAAGAATAGACCAACTCCCAACTCTGATGGAGTGGAAGGCATCGCAGTGATAAGTGATGCCCTCGGCCAGGAATCACAGGAGCTAAATCGACTCTCTAACGCTGTTCAACAGTCCATGTGGGAACGCTTTAGCTCTCGAATTGACTCGCATTCTACGACGTTCATAAAGAAGACGAAATCCTTGAGCACCAATCGAAACAACACGCAGCATACTCGAAACCCTTTATGAACGATGATTGCGATTAAAACCAGTTGAATGCAAGAAGTGCTGGAATCCGCACAGTTGTGATGACGGCCGATGTGAAATTATAAGAAAGAAAAAGTCTAAAAACTTGCAGCGTTCCTGGAAGAAACCGTATCCTGGAGCTTTAAAGCACCCGGTTTCGGATTCTTAGAAACTCAAAAAAGTTTTCCGAATCTAGCGAAATATGAATTAAATGAAGAAATTATGAAGCCCACAAGATCGTTTCTTTACAAAGAGATCGCGATCAAGTACAAGCCACTGTTAACCTTGGTGCGTCTTGCCAAATGCTGCTCATGAAAGGCAACGGCAGGTCTCCTAGTTGTTTAAATACGATGCTCACAAGGTAATAACTCCTCCCAGATTGTGTTTCTTTTTTTTATTACAAAAAGCAACTTCTCTTGACTTCGAAAGACCAAAGCTTTATTTATAAAAGAATTTCGACGTTTCCATCGCGCATTCAGCATATCGGGATCCCAAAGGAACCACAAACGTTGCTAAATCATGAGCTCAGTTTTTTTCTGAAATCCAAATTGGGCGCATCTTAGCACAAATTGCTGGCTTGACGAAACGGTGGACTTTAGTGTCGCGGAATTCAAAGATAACGAACCTGCGCAGTTGCCTAACAAAAACGTGAGTTAACACGCATGCAATGGCAGACTATTTATAATATTTTTCGGAAATGCTCATAGAAATGTATGAATGAAAACTGTAATAATCGACTAAAAAAACCAAATTTAACCTCACCTTCTTATTCTTTCACTACTCGCGAAAATATAATGTATTTCGGTTTCCTTATCTGATTCCAGGTTTTCTTGTCGTTGAGAAGGTTTCAGTTTATCCCTAGAATACTCGTAGAACATTTATCGAAAAATTTCCTTACTTTGTTTTTCGAGGTGCCAGCGCCACGTATTCAGACAAAGTTATCGATGTTAGTAAATGCGCTATGGCTGCAAGTCGTCGCCGTAGTTGTTTGGAATTTTAACTGTTTAAGAAAAAAGGTGTTTTTACTTAGATTTCTCTCCCTCTCTCCCTGAGTCTCTTCAAACTTCGACTTCGAATTTCTCTGCTCACCGGCGTTTCCTTTGAGGGGTGATGTAGATAAAGTGCCTCATTTTTACTATTTTAGCTAGAAGCCGAAATGTCGCTCGAGACATAATTCTTTTACAACAGTGTCAATACCCTCGCTCTCGTTTATAAATATTATACAGATCCCTTTATGCGGGGCTAGCACTTCAACCTGGCTCAGCGAAGATAGAACTCGACCTCGTTATTTTCGAGAATTTTGATTAAGAGAATTAGTGGCTGTTGTAAGGAAAACTTGAGATTTCCTCAAAGACGATTGCTTTTTAAAGCTTGTTTTCGAATTAGTGTTTCGATTTCGTTTAACGATTTCTGTGCGCTCACCTACTTAGAAAATAATGCTTAATTACCTACTACCATTCATTATTTAGTGATGTGCTTCATAGGATGACCGTAACTACAAAAATTGGCACCCAAAAACAAGAACAAACCACTTGAAGAGAATAGAAGAATCCAGTTGTTTTTTGCATACTTCCTTGGTTGGCCCGCCTTCACTGGTTGTGCTGATCCCAGCATAATTTCCACTTTTTGGAGTTTCGCTGGTTTAGTCACTGTGGTTCGCTGGAGTCCCGAGGTCAACTTAGCCAAAGTATGCCCTAGGTCGTCACCACCACAGGCAATCGCAGCCCTTGTGGATCAGAGAGAGATTTGCCGTCAGGCGACTAGTTTGCCACCAGGACGGTGGTGCATCCTGTTATTGGATTACTCGTAGCTAGGCTTCCTGATGCAAACGCCAGGCACCTTCTCAGTTTGGGAGACCCTGCTGAAGGAATCAATCCCCACTGTACATTGAAGCGCGACACCGAAAAATACCTCCCAGCTACGTTGAGGTGATAAACCATTGGGACATCCCAGATGTTATTAACCAAAAAGTACTTTAAACGATTAGTGCTTCTCATTTCGTAAACAATTCTGCTCGATATTATTTAACTTCTGCTTTTTTTAATATCTTTAAACTAGCGGCGATATCCATTGTTTCAGAAAGTCTGCCACCATGTAAGGATGTGGTGGAGACATGCGAGGATCTAGCCGAGAACGGCATGTGTGAGCACCCGTACAGGTGAGCCGTCTCGTACGCTTCCCGTACTTGGCAGCCAGGAACGTGCAATGTTCCCACCACGTTGGGAACCAGGTCTTGTCTAAGACTTAGAAAGCTCCAATGTTTAAGAGCCGGTAAAGTTGACTAGTAAGATAAAGATGAGTGCTAAATCATTCGGTCATGATCAGTCACGTATAAATGCATCACGAATTCGACTTCACCAAACAATAGAGGTGGTTAAATGCATGTCTGGTTCATGCAATGACTTGTGGTACCTTGCCGATGTGTTTAAAATGTCAAGCTTCGACTAACGTTTCGATGTTTTCATCTTCATCAGAGCCGATGGTCCGAATTTATGGCGCACAATTATTCTTCTCGATTGGCGTCTTGGTCTTCGCATCGCGTAGGGAATTCCTCAGTGGAACATCTCTCAAATGAGACATTCTCACCCACCGACGCTCTTTTATACAAATTGCTGGCTGTTGACAATAGTGATTGTCCAGTGGTAACAACTTGGTTTTTTCCGAATAATCCTTCCTGCGGCAGCGGATATCATTTTCAGCTAGCATAGACCGTAATAATCTTTCAAAAACCGGCTTTCCCTTAGCCTCGGTATGACAAATCAACATGTGTTTAAATTGTTGAGTTACATGAGGTTAATCAAAAAAACTCATCGTCTCTGATGAAGTCGACGGCGTCGAAATGTTGGCCGAATAAAAAAATTTATTTATCAACCTCCTGTAAGCTCAACAATTTAAACAAATATTGATTTGTCATAGAGAGTTAAAGGAAAGTGGGTTTTTAAGTATCAAGTCAGTATGTCGTTATTCTTTATTTACTGCTTATTCTTTCTTTCGATTCGATCCCTACCGCATGCGTCAACGGTTCGCAGTTTTGTAAGTATCTCGGCATCATTATGGTTATCATGTAAGCTTTTTTTATCCTTCCATATATGAAGTGTAGGTGCGAACTGGAAGGGATGGAGGGCTTGATTGACCCAGTGAGCTTAATTCGGTCAACGACTATGAGCGTGATTACAGAGCACTACTAACCACTGCACTCACAATGAATACGACATTGTAATACTCCATCCTTAACACTTTCAGGAACAATTTTAACTTATTATTTACTACCTACTCTTTTTAGCGGCAGGATATATATTGCGGAAGATGAATGATGCTGAGATATTTGCTAAACTCCGGACCGCAGGTGTATGCAGTGGAAAACGAACACGCGCTGTTGTCTTTACCGGGGAGGGAGCAGCGCACTTCACCATCACACCATCCGGGCCCTTCGTTTCGCCTGTCTCTCAGCTAGTTCTATCGATCTTTTACCATTAGCAATCATCCGTTAGCGGGATCGATCTGGGCGGCTCAAATCGGCAACGAACCCAGCTAAGCTGAGGCCGCAGTTATAATCACAATTTTAACTTATTAACTTACTTCCCGGAAAGGACAATGGCGCGTGTTCGTTCCCCACCGCATACACCTGCGGTCCGGAGTTTTAAAAATATCTTAGCATCATTCAAGTTATTTTCAGGAACTTTTTAGAATCTTTTCAGAATCTTCCATATCGTTTAATCGTCATCTCTTAAATTGCACTTGAGTTCAAAACATCCAATTATACACCAATACTATTTCATACTCTCTCTTGATCAGATATTTTTCTCATTACCACTGTAGACCCTATGCCTGCTTTCCTTTGATGTTTACTGTTTACATCAACCAGATCTTCCTCCCACAAAAGAATTAACGTTTCAAGAAGAACTGTTACTGGGAAGTTTATAGCGAGTTACCAAAGGAAACTTGCGTATAAAACGGTAAAAACAAATGATGGGGTATAAAAAGGACTGCGGCCTTAGTGTAAGTGGAGACCACTTACAGGTCTCATGCATAAACAAGACAAATAAAAGTTTTACCTTCATTCGTTCAAGTTAAGCGATGAGGAAACTAAGAGTCGCTAAATGTGATACGGGTTATATGGGTAGAGGTTCGGAAGTTATGATAGAATGAGATGAATGAAGTGAACACTGACGCAGCACAGGTTTAGCATTCTTGCCTCGATAACATGCATCTTGAGAAATATCAGCCAACGGAGCGCATGGTTATCTACCTTGACCATGTTTCTGAAAGAGCCGTTCTCTAGCTAATCATGACTTATTCTTCAACGATAGCGTAGTAGGTCAACTGAAGACCTAAAATACAAATGTTTCAGATGAATGATTGGTCTGTGTGCTCTTGTATCATCAAGACGACAAAAAAAGAACCAGAGACAAGAATATCATTATCATAATATCAGGAACAATCATATCAAAATATGTAATGAGTGAGGAACTATTAAGACAGTTCACTTCAGCATGTTAACTTGCAAAGAAAGTCCGTGCCCGATTGGATATTGGTGTCGTCCGACTTAGACGGAAAACCAAGTCTAGTGTCGTCCATGCACTGGCAGCGCTGCTACGAAATGACTATATGAAATACAACAAAATTGATTCTGAAATATCTACAAGACTTAGACCCTAGACCAGATTGGTATCCATGATTATCCTTTCTAGAGGCTTACGTGCTACCCACTGCACCACCGAGGCTTTTGCTTTGCTTCGAAGCTAGCCTCGGGTCCGAGCTTTGCAAATATTTCAAGATCACTGTAGTTGTATTCGGCATGGCAAGTCATTAAACAGTTTAGTTTAATAATATCCTACCATAAAAAATAATAGGCGGTAAATAAAGTGTTAAACACTGAGATATAACGTTGCTCTCGGAGTGCTATATGTTATCTCTTGAATCGCAAAAATTTAACAAGTTCTTCATGATAAAGGCGCTCCAGCACAGTGGTTGAAGGCGGCCTGTAATGCTCGCTAGATCAGTCGCTGTTTCGATCTCTCGCTACAGATTCATCCAGCTTTCATTCATGTCAACAATTTGGTACTAGCCTTACTGGAGGATAGTAACACTGACTATACAAAGGTTGTCAACAGCAAATCATTGCATTGACCAGATATGCGTTCAATCACTTCCATGCTAACAATGGGGTCAAATACATGGAGTGTCGCCCATGAATTGTTCAACACTGGTCGCCTTATCTTTTGTACTTTACATAATACATGACGCAAATGCTGCAGTTTTCTACATTACAGCATGATGGCGCTAAGGACGTACTGCGCAAGGAGCTGCGGTTTTTGTCGCCAACCGCAATACTACGTGAATGACGCCCTCTACCTCAAACCACCGAAAACGGATCGCCTCTCGTAAGTCCCACAGGTTCACTTATGAAGTTCTCACACCGTTGCATATGTAAGAAAATTGCTTAAACGCGGTCGTGTAGACGCAAAAGTTCGTTACAGTTAAAAGGTTTTCAAATATAGGCTTTGTGTGTGACCATTGAACTTTTCTTTTAGAAAACTATCGTCGTCAATAAGGAATCATTTCACTTAAGCGAAGGTGGTTTTCGGTTTGTTGGTGACCTAATTCTTTCATCCAGGATATATTAATGTACTTCCGTCGATATAATGATGTAAACACATTCAGATCGTTCTTTCTAATGAGTTTTCTAAATAAATATCCTCTCCAGAGGACCCACTATCTTAATAAAAACTGTCGCTTCGAATTTGAAATCCAAGTGCACAGAGACCATTTCTGCAACGAAATCATGTTCTTTCAGACTTTGAAACACGAAAAGGTTCTAGATTTTTCGTCTAAATATTCATCAGTTCATTGGTTCAGGAACACCAGCTTGGAAATAACATATGCAGTACATAGTAGTATTGTTTTTGTCAACATATACATAGCCGTTATCATGTTATCAGTGTATTATGCAGATCTCAGTACTCCTTCTATTTGGTTCGTTGTCTCGCACTGGGCATCCACGAAGGTCTTCGGATTTGTTTTAGCGTTCGGCTCCCTTGCGAGAACTAAGTTATCCTCATTGACGTCGTCTAAAGTTGATGAAGCTGATCCTTTCTGGAATCCAGGGGAAGCTATGGTGTAACGTCTTCTGTTCTCACAAGAGCACTCGCCGACGTTTGGGAATCGAGGTGAGCCTTAACCGGATAATTCTGGTGCCAATTCGTCGTCTTCGAATTGACGAAGAGCTAGGTTGGCCCAGTGAAGAATCAACCATGGACCATGTGTGCCTTTCATATATATTTCTTAAACTAGTTTCACATGTATTTTTTCTTTAATGAGTTTACACGAGGTTGATAATGATGTTTATTTTCGGCTAACGTTTCGACGTCTTCGCCTTCCTCAGAGCCGATGATCCGAGTCGTTGGTCCTCGCTTGTTATTCGTCTCGACGTGGCAGCTTCGCCTTCGTGTCGAGTCAGGTCTTCTCCAGTGAGCCATCTCCTCGAAAAACAAGCTGTTATCACCGGACATTATCGTTATATCCACCATCAGTATCGTGTATAAAAGGCATCACTGAGTAAGGATGTCTCATTCGAGGAGATGGCTCACTGAAGAAGACCTGACTCGATACGAAGNCTAAGTATGTCACGTAGAGACCAACCGCACAGAAATCACGTGGAAGTATAACGTTAGTATTAGTATTTATGTTTATTTTCGGCTAACGTTTCGACGTCTTCGCCTTCCTCAGAGCCGATGATCCGAGTCGTTGGTCCTCGCTTGTTATTCGTCTCGACGTGGCAGCTTCGCCTTCGTGTCGAGTCAGGTCTTCTCCAGTGAGCCATCTCCTCGAATGAGGCATCCGTACTCAGTAATGCCCTTTTATACACGATGCTGATGGTCGATATAATGATAATGTCCGGTGATAACAACTTGTTTTTTTTCCGGACACACATCATTGCGCACATCGTGAAGAAGTCGGTGTTGTTATCAGCTAGCACAACGCGTAGTAATATTTCGAAACCGACTTTCCTTGAACCTCGGTATCACTAATCAATATGAGTAAGGATGAGTACTGAGTAAGGATGCCTCATTCGAGGAGATGGCTCACTGAAGAAGACCTGACTCGATACGAAGGCGAAGCTGCCACGTCGAGACGAATAACAAGCGAGGACCATCGACTCGGATCACCGGCTCTGAGGAAGACGAAGACGTCGAAACGTTAGCCGAAAATGAATATATTTATCAACCTCGTGTAAACTCATCAAAGAAAGAATACATATTGATTAGTGATACCGAGGTTCAAGGAAAGTCGGTTTCGAAATAGTTTCACATGCATTGAACGTATGTTTTTAACTGCATGCAATAAGGATACATTGAATGACATTGGCTCAATTTCGTCGCTTAAAACATCGAATAAACATCGTATTCCGCTTGAATATCCGACACTATTCACAAGTATCTGAAATTAACAGGTGGGCATGTTCTGGAGCGATCAACTCAATGGTTGGGTGAGGACCCTTTGTGACCGATTGTCATCCTCTGTGGGGAGTGCAGCTGTCAAGGGTCATCTTGTCCGTCGTGGCGGCCGATCCTTTTGTAATGAATATTCGGCGAATAGCCTCGTATCAACTCACCGCCTTCAAGTGTCCATTCAAGAAACAAGCGATCAAATGCCATATCATCATATCACGCAAAGAAATCTTCTCTGCTCCCCAAACGATTTCTCCCCCAGTCATTTTTTATTTTCAGGAATTAATTCTGTTTAAATATCCTTTCTGTCTAAATTAAACGTATAGCTACAGAATTAGGCGGGCAAAAATAACGATTCTTTTTTAAGGCGTTGCAAACAAAAAGAAAACACAAAGATTTAAACTAAAGACAACAAAATTTTCAAAAATAGAAAAAGAGTATTTTTCCGTCATTTCAACAGGAAACCTCGCCTTGTGGGTGGGCGACTGCCGAACGAAAACATAGGCGTTTTCTACTTTTCACTAGGTTTCACCCTACGCCGAAAAACGTTTCTTCAGCAAATGTTTCTTAATGTAGTCTGTTTCATCTGCAGATGAATTTTTCAATGGAACGAGGAGAATTACAGACACCGTGTACTTAAACACGGAATAATGTCTTTTCAAAATTTATGAAAGGCTTTTGAATTCCTGCTTTAAAGCAATACACCTCTTTACTTCCGGATAAGTATGATGTCAATTCACCGATCTGGATTGGCTGAGAATCGAACCAAAATAAGGTGTACATTGTAAGAGATCTCTGACCAGTGCTCTGAAAGCAATGTGAAGCAAATGCCAATCACTTGACAAGGAAACCGAATGCCATCAAACCCTAGGCTTCTCCGGCGTTAGCTTATTGGCTGGAGATTTCTGTGGAATCTGGGAATTGGCTTCTCACTAGTATTAACATTCACCTTGCAGCAAACCGGTGAGGTTCGCACTCAATGCATCGCGGAGGCAAATTCATGCATGGAAAATAATGGGAGAGCATTTTATAAAAGGAAGACATGAACTCTACTGCAAGCGAGCTCGCCATAACCAAAATTCTTAGCGCAATAGTGTCTACTAAGATGTTTAGACTTACAAAACTGTTTCAGTTGATCGAAATCCGCTTGTCATGTGTGATCTGCACGTCGGTTGCCTTCGATGACACTGTTTGATCAACATCGTAATGTTATACCTTTTTATTTTCTGCCTACTATAATTTCGCGGCAGGGTACTAAGCGAAATACAACCACAAGTTCCCCACCATAGACACCTGCGGTCCAGAGTTTTGCAAATATCTCAGCAACATCGTAATGTTTTCTTGCTCCATATATTGCTCAGAAAACCCAGAGGTCCCCAGTACGGATTATACCTAGCTGGTGATCAGTGCTTCTCGATAAGGCATGCGGTGCGGAAACGCACTCAGAGGCGTTGTTTGCGTGGTAGTCGCTGGTGTCAGCCGTCGGAGCGGTCAGCGACTGCTCAGCGCCGGAGCGGACGGCAAACAGCGGACATGCTTCACTTCACGTCAAGTAGCTGTGAGAGATGCACCAAACAACACATAGCTCACAACCATAGAACCTTCTCAGCCACCCAAGCACAACCACCTTCAGCGCCCCAATTGCAGGTCCTCGACTTTTGATGGATTTTGAACAGCTGAGCAAGACAGCAAACGACGCAATGTTCCGATCCCAGTATGCACAGTTCCCCCTCACGCTTGCTTGACCCTCAGTGCTCGCTGTTATGCACTTATGCGTTTGAACTATGAGTGAGACCAGAAAAAGAAACGTGTAAACGAAGATGGACAATGCAAAGTAGAAATTAAGGCGATAAGAGGAATCTTTTGCATTAAAGGTGCACCAGGTTGGTACGACTACGTTCATGAAATCATATAGTTATTTGTGGACAAAGTTCCACTAAAATTTGTAGTATGTTTAAAAAAATTAGCAGCGGCAAAAACACTTTCTGACTCCTTATGTCTGCCACCGTCCCTATCTAGAAGATTCCTACTAAAAAATTGAGGCAAATAAGAAGTTACTCTGTCACAAGCGCTTATTGACTCACCGATGACAGGTAGCATATGCATCCATGCCTAATCTGTTAGGCAAACACTGCAACCCCAGCTTTGCCGGTCTCCCTCTTGAGGACAGTTATAACTGTTCACCTTCTAAGCCCCTAACCAAACAACGATTACATAGGTCAAGTGTTCAGTGTTGCCTGGATGGCATGGATTGTGCCGACCGACGTGCTTCAGAAGGCCTCATCAGCACAAGCGTTCGTAAATATTCGCTCAAAGTTCACTCGAAGAGATTCAGTTGGAAAGGATTATTACGTGACCACCGAAAGTTCTTCTAACTGAAACGTTTACACTTTCCAATGACGAGTCGTTAAAAGTTTTATGAATTCAAAACCTCACTGGAGTTGAAACTTCTTGCATTTTTATCATCATGTTGCTTAACTTCAGGTCACCTTTTTACTGCCCAGTTATAGAGTTAAAGTTATTAATTCTTTTCCTTCGAGCGCACTCTAGCTTGTTGTGAGTGATGGGTGAAACCGAGACGTCTCTCTGATATCTACAAAACGCGGCAAAGTAGACTCAAACATCTAGAAAGAGAACATCGGTCAGAAGGGAAGTAGTAGATAAAAAGATGACCAGGTGCTTTCTTTTAAAACTTTAAAAATTTCTGTGAAATGCTAAGTTTTTGACAGTATTCCATATCATTTTAAATGGATTAATTCTTACTAGCACACGCCTTCTTCTTCCACCCAGTTGAGGATCAGCAAACCAGTCTTGACGAAAAAATGTGTGAAAAACTGGAAAAGAAGTAGGAACTGTTATATATTTAAAAAATCAAGGACAACCAGGAAGATTTCGTGTTGGAGGATTGAAGTGGGCTTATTCTACACATTTATCGAGCAAGGTGGCTGATCTTAAGGGGGATTTCTCCTTCTCTTTTTTGCAGCCGAGAAATTATGTCCATCTAGTGGACCAGTGACGAGATACTTTCGAAAATTGCTTTCATTCAGCCTTGCAGTGAAAGATCAGAATCAATATATGAATATCAAGGAATCAATCTCTTGCTCTGTTTACAGTTTACACCAAGTTCTTACCAGTTTTTATTGTAAGGTAAATTTTTATTACTAGAGAGAAGAATCGATGGTGCAAATTCGCTGGATGGGAAAAGTGATTTTTGTAACAGAGTAGTTTAGTTGCAAGTAAGCCTTTAGAGAGTTCGACATCCAATAAAAATAACGAGAATGGGAAGGCTGAAGTTGAGAAGTTATATACTGGGATGACTGGGAAATTTAAAAGTGAAGACTTCGAAGGAGTGATAAAGTTCTTAACAACTTCAGCGATCAGCATAAAGCACATTACATAGGCTTCATAGCAATTTAAAAGTGGTGAAATTCGATTTCAATAAATTCCATAGCTTATAGTTTATTGGGAAAGGTAAAAAAGCTCGAAGAGAAAGGGATTTCAGATGTTCAGAAAGAAACCTTTCCGGCGAGTTCTCATTGAGCAATAAAGATGGTTCAATAAGGCCGCTCAGATTCCGTTGAACCAAAGGAGGATTCACCAGATGGCCGTCCAACGCTGATGAATAACTACTCCGTTCAGGGCACATTGCAGTCAGGTAAGACAACCTTCTTCG